GAACCCCTCTGGCAAGCCAATTGCTCAGAGGAGCTCTTTTTATGAGCCTTTCCAGGGGGAGTCTGCTGGTGGCTTTCCCCCCCCACCCCTTCTCTTCTTCTCCACTCGACCCCTTTTGAAGTGAAGGCTCCAGGGATGGTCCGGGGTCAGCACCCAACTGAGTCCCCTGCAGACTGAAGTGTTTTCTCCATAGGGAGGAATTTTTACTTCAGCTCCCAGCTCCTGTGAGGCTGCCATTTTAGCTGTGGCAGGTAAAGCACTTCTGTGAGGGTCTCCCAGGCACAGTAAGTGTCTGGCCATTACAGGAACTGACTCCTGGCAAGAGAGGCACCGCTTGGAGCAGAGAGAGCCAGGCATGCCTCTGGGCAGGGGTTTGTCATCCTCTAGCAGGGAGGAATGCAGAAGAACATCGTCTTTACTTTTCTTTTTTTTTTTTTAAAACTGAATATAAAAAATGATGAGTCTACAGATGCCTGGGGGCAAGGGGGAAAGGGGAATGCCCCCAGACAGGGCAGGAAATTGAAGTTCTTTTCCTTTCTCTCTCTCTTTTTTAACCCAAAGGAATAAAATAAAAGAATTTTGCTAATTTTGTTTGTTTACAATTGCTGTGCTAATGACAACAGATAAGGAAGAGACAACTGCTCATTCCATCTAAGGCCAAAGGCAGTAGAGAAGGAAGTGTGTGGGGGGGTTTCTTCCAGTGCAGTGCTAAATAACCTGGAGGCAGACCACAAGGGAGGGCACATGCGTGGTCTCAACGGGACACTGTTACCAAAAATCTCCGCAGGGGCACACACACCTGCAGTGGAACACCTATAGAGACACTACTCAAAGAAGAACCACAGAAGACTTTTTAGGCAGTGTTTACACTAGGGAGATTTACAAAAGAATTCCCACTAGTTCTAATACGACTTCTGCAGAACTCTTGGGAGCCAAAGTATAGACAAGACATTGCCAGCCAGATTAATTTTTGCCACCGCTTCAATTAGACTTGTTTTTCAGCAGGTTTAACTAAAACAGTGGCAGAAATAGGTCTGGCTATCAGAGACTTGCCTATATTACAGTTTCCACAAATTCTAGTACTAGATCACCTCTCTAGGAGATAGAATCATGGCTGAGTGTAAGCAGAGGACTGCTGATGTAGTCCAATATTGTTCTTCTAAGAGCAGTACAATTTTGCTCCTATAAAAGCAAAATCTCTGTGGTGACATAAAAACATTGTCAATAATTGTCCCTTCCTCCAGTTGTGTTCCAAAGCAACTTCCATTGGGCGAGGAAAAACCAGTGAACACTTTAGACAAAGTGGTGGTGACCATTTTAGACAAAGTTCAGATTAACCAATCATTCAAGTATAGACAAAGATGAATCAACCTTATCCGTGACATTTAATAGTTAAATAGTAAAAGGCTGAGAAAGACAGAATATGATAAGAATCCCTTGATCACAATCACTGTTAATTGGAAAAGTCATAATGTGGAAATACATTTTACATAGAACCAAGGGCAAATAACTAGCCCATGGAGGAAAGATAGATTCAGAAAACTTTATATCTCTTCTTTTTGTCTCCCACTATCCAGAATAGACCTCAAGTTCTAGGTGTCTTCTGCCACCCCCCCCCCAAAAAAATAAAAAACAAAACCATAAACACACACACACTGATTGATCTTAGTTAGGGTTGTACTCAAGTGCATTTTGCCTGCTGTGGTTAAAGCAGAAGTGAAAATAAAACGCTAACCCTGATAGGCTAAAAGACTCAGGTGGCATTGTCGTGGAACCAAACAACTTGTTTAGGAAGCAAGTGTCTACAAAACAAAGCAACTTCCCAAAGAAGGATAAAGAAAATGTAGCAGATAGCTAAAAAATTGCAAAGGAGAATCCTTGTAAATCATTTCACTACAAGATGGTAGAATCTTAGTAGGAAGTAGATATCTAGTTGCATTAGTCAGCCATTTAATTCATAACTAGAGTTGCTGAAGATGTTAGATACTGGCACATTGCAATACTGTTGTGAAATACTGCCCGTCTTTCTGTAGCCAAAGAAATCTCACTTACCATGATTATCCACATCTACTCTCTCAATTAAGAGATATAAATGTGAAGGATGAAGGAACACTGAATTTACTGTTGGACTGTTTCAAAAACTACCATACCACTTTGGAGACATGGTGAATACTCACTCCCCCTCTTAAAAGTGCTGCTTTGAGGCAGAAGAGACAGATGCAGGAGACAGGCTTAATAAGACAGAGAGAGCACACGCCTCCTCTCTTTAAATTAGTTCAAAGAGAAGAGCCTTAGTCATTTAATTAGTAAAATCTATGTCCTGGAAGAGAAAGTCAGAGTTTTTACCCTAGCCATCTAAGGAAATTGATGCTTCAAAATAAATGATGCAGCCACAGAACTTAATGAGTATTATTGCAAGTTTGACAACTGCAATGTTGTCAAACTCAGACGAAGAGATAAGATTGTGGTGGCTTTTAAACTACGTGCAACTTCTCTTTTCTGCCTATTTGCAATTGGTCATAGCAATAATAAAATCTCCTAAGTGTTACAGTAGGTTATAAATCAGTCCAAAAGTATATTCAGTGTTCCTTCATCCTCCCCATTTGAATCTCTTAAATGTGAGTAAGCATACATAGCCATGGTAACAAAGATTTGTCCATCTAGCAGAACTGTCCATTGAATGCAGTACAATTAAAATCCATTAGATGTCTCTCTTGTTATTCTGAATTACTTTCTCTTCCCATTCTTTTTTGAAGTGGTTAATACTACCTAAAAACCTTTCAGAACTAGAGCTGTGCAAAATATTTGCATTAAACCTCAAACCTACTCATATTTTCCAAAGCTTTCACAAAACTATGTTCATGAATATGAAACAAAATTGTTTGCACAGCTGGGAAACTTGTGAGCCTCCACTCTCCCCCCAAATTTAGGTGTCTTTGTAGGCTTGGGGGGCAGTAATATGCTTCCTTGTCCTTTCTGCATGGGCCAAGTAGCTCCTTTTGCCACTTCCCTGGGGTTTTTGGGGATGACAAACAGCCACTTCCTCCATCGGGGTCTTTAAGATACATATCTAACATTCACAAGGTCTTATTAGCATGGGAACAGAACATTAAGGAATAGGGAAAACATAACTTGCTGCCAAATGACACTAGTTGACTCGGGTCAAGAAAAGCCCTAAAATCTTTAGTGCAGTATCACCAGGAAACCCTTCTTTAGCATCCATACCCTAGGTATTATAGGGTATGTTTTCTAGCATGTAGTTGTTAGGGAACCCCAAAACAGTTCTCTAGCTACTATTCTACATAGATTACAGATTACTGTTGAACTTCAGCTCAACAGAACCAGCTGGAAACAGAAGAGTTTTCTCGCTATTGAAAGCAAGGGTCCTTAGCACATCCTGTTCCCTCAGAAACCTTCATCAAAGGGCTCACAAAGGCATCTGTTCCCATAACTACTGCTCCCTGAGCACACTACTGGGAAGGAAGAAGTCATCTAAAACCTCCAAACAGCATGGGATCTGTGGCCACCTGCCTCTAGGAGGAAAGAGTGAGGTAGATCACCAGCTCCTCCTCCTTGAAAAACAAAGGTAAAAAGGAGTTCTAAGATTTAGAGAGTCACGCACTTAGTCCTGGAGGACCCTGGTATTGGTAACTGCATATACATTCTGCCTAAAGGTTTGAATTTTAAAAACTTAAAGGAATTCTGTTCACTTCCAGTTCCTGCAGACCAAATTTTAGGGTTTAGTTCATAAACTCCCTTGCAAACCAAACTCCCAAGGGTGTGAATGGTTTCATCTATATAAAAGGATACAAGGAATATCATTCCGAAGCCTGGAATGTTATTCTGAAGCCTAAAATGTCAGTATAGAGGGCTGGGTAGGGAAGGCTGTGCCTCCCCAAACAGCCTGGACCCTGCCCCCTATCTGCCCCCTCCCACTTCCTGCCCCCTAACTGCCTCCCTCAGACCCCCCCAACCCATCCAACCCCCCCCTTGTCCCCTGACCACCCCTCCCAGGACCCCCACCCCTAACCATCCCACGGGACCCCACTCCCTATCCAACCCCCCTGCTCCCTGTCCCCTGACTACCCTGCCCCCATCCACTCCCATGCCTCTCCAACCCCCCCGTTCCCCATCCCCTGACCACCCCCCCAGAACCTCCACCCCATCCAACCGCTCCCTGTCCCCTGACTACCCCCTGCCCCTTATTCAACCCCCCCGCTCCCCATCCCCTTACCATGCCACTCAGAGCGGCAGGAGCTCACAGCCCTGCTGCCTGGCTGGAGCCAGTCACACTGCTGGTGTGGCAGCATGGCTGCGGGGGAAGGCAGGGGAGGAGCTGGGGGCTCAAGGGCTGGGCAGGATGGTCCCGTAGGCAGGATGTGGCCCATGGGCCGTAGTTTGTACACCTCTGATCTAGAAAAATGCATTTTCCTGTAAGTATAGTGCCTTCTTCTAGTTGGCAGGGCAGACAAGCTGCCTGCTTTGAAATGCTCTCTAACTCAGAGGAAAAGTAATGCACATAGAAGGATGATGATATACCAAAAACAGTGACATTTGCCTCAAATAAGTAAAGTTTCATGCAATTACACAAGTTATTTTGAGGGGCACACAACTTCACATGTTGCCACTAGAGTTGTACTCAAAAAATGCTGGTGAAACTAGTGGACAATTCTGGGTTCAGGAAGGCAAAAATCACAGTCATTTTGCTTCCCATTTTTCCCAATGAAATTGAAAGTCAGTTATGGAATGCACAAAAGTCTTGCTATGACACAGAAAAAGAAGCGTTTTTTCTCTGAAATTTCTCATGAGAATTACAGTTCTCAATAGGGCAAGTCTGCAATTTTCCTGCACCAAAAATTTCCAACATTTGTTAGTAGCAGCAAACATGTGCACCTCATTTGTGCATTGCACACATACTGCCAAAAATATTAACTAGCAGAATAAGAAAAGGTACACAAAGCTGACTGTTAGCCTACTGAATCATCATGCAGAAGCTGTACCTGTAAATAAACTTTTTTTTGCACCAGGAATATAATCTGCAACTCTGCCGAAGATCAATCGTCCGACTCCTGAAGTGATGCCAAGACACAGCAGAAGCACCTCTTCTTGTACATTTTCGCCAAGCCTCTCTTTTACATGTTTCATCTGTTTAAAAAAATAAAAATAAAAAAAGGGGATGGGCAGAGAAAATGATGTGGAAATAGAATAATAAGAATAAAAAATCTTTGAAAAACAATTTATAACCCACCCGCCCCACCCCCCCGCTTTCAACAATGTTTTAATTCTCAAAAAGTTCACCAATTCTGTTTTGGAGGGGTTATAAAAAAATAATTTTTTTAACTGTTTGATCAATGCCACATGAGATACTGACAATAGAAACTATTTAAAAGGGTGTTGGTCAATTCTATTCTATTCACAGTTATTCAATTACAAGGCTTGCTTGACCCAACAAAGCAAAAGGTGGACTTGGGAATCCAGGACCTATACTCCCGAAGAACTCACTTCCCTGGTCAGTATTGCTCACACTGTCAGGTCTGAAGGTAAAACACAGTTGGTGAGTATCACCACAATATTTTTTTCTCTAAGACAGGAGATGTCCTTGCCAATTGGCTGAGAGCAGAGTGGAGATTATAGACATAAGAGACCCCTGCTGTATTAGCAGTATTGCTAATTCCAACCCTTTCAAAAGTCATGAGTCAATGTGACACTGGCAGATCAGGTGCCAGCTTGTACCAGAGCCCCAGGCCAATTCACTTGTGTATTAGTATATAGATCAAAGTGATTGTTAAAGGTATAAGAGTATCTGGTGTTTAAACTTCATGAAAACTGGTGGGATGTTACTTGCATTGTTTTCACTTATCCATATCCCATTATAACACAGTAGCAAACATTTACATTGTATACAGCCCTGTAACTAAATAACCCATCAAATGAGAAAGAAGCCTTGTAGAATACAAATGTAGAACTTTAACAGAAAAATGCTAATTTTGTAGCAAGTGGTCCTCATGTGTGATGACTGGAGGTCAAAGACTCAAAATTCATTTCTCACGCCACCATCAAAAGAAAAGTCCACATAGGTAGTGACACTGTCAGCTTGTTCTCAGTGAGAAGCTACAATTATGGATTCAAGGAAAGATCCTGCATCTCTGTACTGACTGGACCCTTATAGGGAAGTGTACCTGATACAAAGTGGAGATCCCCAGAGACAATCTGCATACCTTGAAAAGACTTTGGAGAAACTGGCAGTTTATTACATAATTTCCACCATTTGGAATTACAAACTGTGACTCACCTGTGCACATATTTTACCTGCTTTAACCTCTCAATAACTCTCATTTCCTTTTCTTAGCTAATAAACCTTTACTTAGGCCTGGTCTACACTGGGGGGGGAGGGGAATCGATCTAAGATGCACAACTTCAGCTACAAGAATAGCGTAGCTGAAGTCGACGTACCTTAGATCAACTTAGAATCACTTACTTCGCATCCTCACGGCACAGGATCGACAGCCGCCGCTCCCCCGTCGACTCTGCTTCCGCCTCTTGCAGTGGTGGAGTTCCGGAGTCAACAGCAGAGAGATCGGGGATTGATTTATCGTGTCTACACTAGACACGGTAAATCGATCCCTGATAAATCGATCACTACCCACCGATCCAGCGGGTAGTGTAGACGTGGCCTTAGCTGACTACAGAACTGGCTACCAGTTGTCTTTGGCGTAAGATCTAGAGCAGGGGTTCTCAAACTTCATTGCACCGTGACCCCTTCTGACAACAAAAATTATTGCATGACCCCAGGACGGAGGACTGAAGCCTGAGCCTGCCCAAGCCCCACTGCCCTTGGGGGTGGAGCCAAAGCCAAAGCCCCACCACCCCAGGTGTGGGGGGGAAACCCTGAGCCCCACCACCCTGGGCAGGAGGGGACAAAGCCAAAGCCAGGCAGGGGGCCTGTAACTTGAGTCCCACTGCCCAGGGCTGAAGCCCTTTGGCTTTGGCCCCAGGTGGTGGGGCTCGAGCTTCGGTCCTGGACAGTGGGGTTCTGGTTTTGGCTTAGGCTCCAGTACCCAGCAAATCTAAGCCCACCCTGGAAACCCCATTAATATGGGGTCACGACCCACAGTTTGTGAACCGCTGATCTAGCGTACCAATTGATCTGGGGTAAGTGACTGATTTCTTGGGACTGAAAGCAACCTAAATGTGATGTCATTTTTGGTGTAAGTAACCATTTTATCACAAAGTTCAGTTTGTCTGGGTGGCAAGGTGGACTGGACTGTCTAAAGGGACTGTCTGTGGCTCCATGGTAAGATTATTACAGTGATCCAGGAGTTCACATTTGTCACTGGCTTGGTGAAATCTAATTATAAAACACACCACCAGTTTGGGACGTTTGCCCTGAGGTAGACAGCGTGACAATCAGAACTTAAAAAAAAATCAAGAGATTGGCTTAAAAATAAGTTTGGGGTTCTTTTTATTTACCTTCTGGTATCTGAAACTTCACAGTATACTCTGGTCACAGTTTCAAGATTTATTTCTCAATCATGAGGCTAGAAACTTACTTAAAGGTGAGATTTTCACATAATGACTTGCCTCAAGGAGCTGGGGCTTTAAGAAAAAATGCCATGTATCACGAGTTTTTCAAAAATATCACAAGAGTTGGCAACACTGATTAGTCAGAGTGGAGTACCCTGCAGCAAGTGGGGTGAGAGGATCCAGAAAGACCACTCATCTACTGTGCAGGAGACACAAGAGGCACTCTCTGTCCCCAGACTTCTGCAGCAACAGTAAAATCCTACTGGATTGAAGATAATTTCTGAATGGGAAGAGTGGAACAAAATGGAGAATAGTATAGAGAAGATGGAATGAACATGGATTAAGGATGGACACACACGAGGAAAAGCATGGATAGAAAAAAAGTTGTGGTCTCAGTACAGGCCTAGGAATCAGCAACTGTGAACATGGTTCTGACACCAACTTGTTACTTGGATAACAATCTGACATTGGAAAATACCTCAGTTTTCCCATCTGTAAAATGAGAATAATACCTACTTCTCAAGGATGTTAGGAAAATTGATTTGCCACTCTGAACATCAAATTGAAAAACAGACCATATAAATTCTAAAAATTAGTGTTAGAGAAAATATACAGAAGGGGAGAGACGAAAACCAGAATGAAAGAATATAAATATACACACAAAGTAGAGTGAACATTTAAATAAAAAATAAGTTGATGAGTCTGTGATGGAATACACCCATGTTCACACCCTATACACCATTGTAATAATCGTTATACAAAGTATATATCATTTGAAAACTCATAATTGGCTGGTCAGTATTGTCCTGATAAAACGTGTGTGACAACACTATGTGAAGTTATAAGATTCCCCTATATGATGTTATTAACACATGCTCCAAACCCTACAGCCCTGCCCAACCAGAAGTTGGTAAACAGGTCTGTCTTAAACAAAGGAATGCGTGCTTGCTTTAATTTGCATTTAAGCAGTAAACAGAGTCATCAAGCAGGAAGGGAAAACAAAAGAAGTTCAAACAGGTTAAAGAAAAACAGCAAGGGAATATCTTCCACATAGACTCTGTCTCCTGGTTCTCAGCTGGAAATGTTTTTCAAGAAGGGGACTGAAACTATAAAAAGGATGGACAAACACACCAAGTTACCCCTCTCTTTCTCCTTACCCCCCTCATTCTCCTCACCCGAGAAGACAAAAGTAAACAGCCATTGGACTCTGAGGGAGAGGTCTTTACCTGAAAGTTTGGTCAGTAATCTGCTGGAGCATGTGGTGAGAAACTTTGCTTGAATCTAATATAGTTTGTTAAGTTAGGCACTAGTAAGCATTTTATCTTTATTTTTCTTGTAACCATTTCTGACTTTTATGCCTTATTATTTGTACTCAAAATCTCTCTCTTTGTAGTTAAACTTTTTTTTACCTTTTTATCTAATCCAGCGTGTTTAAACTGAAGTGTCTTGATAACTATTTAAGATAACAAACTGGCATATTACTCTCTTAAAGGAATAATGGACTTAATATATTTGTAGTGTTCAGGAGAGGGCTGAACAGTACAGGACATACATTCCTGGTAGAAGATCTGGGACTGCGGTGTTGTTGGGGTCATCCTGCAGTATAACCAAGGTTGGCGAGAGCCAGGATGTAGCTGGCAGGCTGCAGTTACACACAGATATTCAGGGTGTGGCTTGCATGCTGGAAGGCTGTTTGTGAGTGTCCCAGATGGGACCTACTATAGCAAGACATTGTAAGGCACTCAAAGTTGCAGGGCAGGGATGCAATGCCCCTCTCACTAGTCTGGATTGTGCCCCAGTATGTCAGAGTCAGAAAAAGTTCTTGAAGAGAAATGAGTGATCAGAAGAATAATCTGGAGAGAAAACTAAGAATTTTAGAAATTATTAAATTATTAGAAAAATTAGACTAAAACAAAAGTTGAAACAGAAAGCAAAATTTACACCAAGATATACACAAAAAGGAATGGAACAATGAGTTAAGGGATGGAAATGGGGAAAAAAGGATCATAAGGGGACATGTAATACATTTAAAAAAATATTTTACAAAGTTTGCTTCCAACATGTTACAACATAAAACACATGAAAATTAAACATTTACAGTCCGTGTCATGGGACAAGACTGTAGGAGATGACAGAGTACTGGGGAAACCTGATTGTGGCAGAAGACAGCCACAATCAGAAGACACAATGGGGTATCACCATCCAGTTGGTGTATATCTAGTGGGGATCTACTGAAACAATGGTCAGTTCTTGGCACAATGTTATTCAATATTTTTATCAAATGATAGGAAAGAAATTAAAATCCATGCTGGCAAAGTTTGCAGAGGATATAAAAATTGGAGGAGCGGTAAACAATAAGGAAAAGTCAGTTCTACAGAGTAATCTGGATTGCATGGTAAACTAGGCTCGCTCGGACAATGTATTTTAATACAGCTAAATGCAAGGTCGACTATTTAGGAACAAAGAACGCAGGTTATGTTTACAAGATGGCACCCTAATTTGGAAAGCAGTCACTCAGAAAAGGACTTAGGGGTCCTGGTGGATAGCCAACTGAACTTGAGCTCCTAACACGATGCAGTGGCTAAGAGAGCAAATATGATCCTTGGCTGTATAAGCAAGAT